CTTGGAGCAACCTGCTCTAGTGGAAGGTGTCCCTGCCCAGGGCAGGGGTTGGAACTGGATGGGCTTTAAGGTCCCTTCAACCCAAACCAGGCTGGGATTCAGTGACTGAAGCCTTCACCAGGACCAGGTCCATCCCTGTTCGCCTCTCTCGCTGGTGGGGATTGGGCTCCCTCTTCTATGGCCAGCAGACAACAGTTTTCTTTACATTGAGCCCGACTTTGGGATGAACACGCTTCAGCCTTGGCAATGCATCTGCTGTGGCTTCAGGCAAACATGCTGGAAGGCAGTTAATGTGCGGGTGAGATAGTGGAACGTAAAGACAAGCCTCTTGCATTCAGTCGTATTTAGTGGGCTCTGCTGGCAAGCCAAAGGTTGGTTAATTTGTTCCAAGGCCGGGAACGGCAATGTAAAGAATAAATTGATGATGACAGTAGATGCCAAACCACAGACTATTGCTGGTAATTAATATTCATATATGCTGGGTTTAGCGAAACATTAATTATGTATTTAATCAAGCCCTGTTGATGCTGGTTTATCTTTGTACCTTGGGTGGTTGTTATGCTGAAGACTTCAGATTAATTAAAATGTTGCTGGTGTATCACAAATAACAATTAGCGAGGTGTGAGCAGAACCGCCTTTCTCTTTGTGCTTGTGGAGGAGGGAGGAGGAGAGCCCGGTGGATTTTTTCCTGGGGCCACTGCTGGCTCCATGGGGAGCTGTTGGGGGGGTCTGCTTTGCTCTGAGCCCAGCCATGGTGGTGTCCAGGCTGGGTGGGATCGGGGGGTTCCTCCGCTGAGGACATGCTGCAGGAGCCCTGAGTGCGTGCAGTGCTCTAGGTGAGATGGAGGACAGGACCAGGGCCAGGTACTGCTACAGTCTTCATGCCCAGTGGATCTCTCTGGCATCACGGTGCTCACAGGGGTGTTGTGGGGTCTGCGCTTCCCTGGGGACCACAGTGCTCCACCCCTGGTCACCCCAAGGAGCATCTCCACTGGTGCTACCCACTTCTGGGCTTGCTCCCAGGGAGGCAGTGGGGCTGATCCCAGTTGTCACAGGCACACGGTGATGCTTCCCACCACCCTAATGTTGCCAGGGAAATCTGGATTCTCCTGTTTCTTTGTGATGTGGTGGGCAGAGCAGGGCAGCCCCAGACCCGGCACATGCCATAAACCCATCCCCAGGAGCTGCATGTATGGCTGGAGCCATCCCTTTCGTTCTAGCCCTTTGCTTCCTGCAAGAATAGATCTTGCTTTTCTGTATTCAGTCCTATCACCCTGTGTTTGCTCCCTGCTTCAATTTCTGCAGTGTTTCTGCCTCAAGTGCCACCGTTCAGTGGAGGTGTCTGGGGGGGAGTAAATGGGATGTGTCAGTGGTGCTGCAGCATGCACAGAGCACCGACATCCCCTGCTCACCCCCAGACCTCACGTGGCTCCACCTGAGCCTTTATCTCCGGTTCCCATTGCCAGAAACAAGCTGGAATCTATTTTCTTTTAATAAGAACAAAGCAAGGAGCAGAACAGACTGTGTGAGCTAAATAGAGAACAAATTCACTCTTGGTGGCAAAGGTGCTGGAGAGGAGGGAGGGATGGTGGGATATTGCTGTGAGCAGGAGGGAAAAAATATAAGTGGAGAAACTTATAGATGGTGACGTCTATGGGAAGGATGAATGAGTGTCCTGGGAAGCTGTGCTGGATCGGGGGGAAGGTCCCTGCATCCCCAGATGACAGCATCTAAGTTCATCTGCTTTGGGACTACGCTTGGAGATGGCAGCAAGAGGCACCCGGCTGCACTGGGGTTTGGCATGTTACGTTGTTTTAGGGACCCTCCTTCTTCTTTGAAGAGATTTAGCCCCAGAACTTACAGGTCACGTTCTGGCCAATGCTGCGGGGAAAGACACAGCTCAGAGGAGAGGGTGCAGGGTTTACAGTGCTGGCACCCTGCTTGTGTCCCCCATTGTCGAGGCATGACCAAGTCCTTTACTTAATGGTGGCAGTTCCCCGTGCTGATGATTGACTTCAGCGTGTCCCTGCAGCAGCTCTGCAGCACTTCTCCATCCCTAAGGAAGGCACAGAGTCTGGCAGCAAGTGCTGCCGCTGCTTTGCTTTATCCCGAGGAAACAGGGGTAGAAGGGAAGTCTGCACCAAAGGATGGTAAATGTCACATTGATTTGAAACACGCTTGTTTGCAGCTTCGCCTGGGAAGGAGAACGGTTCAGTTGAGTGCCCTTAGCCTGGATAGCGTGAGACCTGCCTGCTGCCCTCTGCCCCTTGGGATTGGGCTGGGGATGGCCCCAGGAGGGGGATCTGCCTGCCTGGCATGGGGGCTGCCTGGATGCTGCTTTTCATTACGGCTTCTTACAGCTTTACCCAGTTTTAATGTCTGTTTATGTGTCTCCAGCTTTATGACTGTCTGGGGGAGAGGAGCAGACGGCAGGTTTTGGTTCTGATTGTTGGCTGACGGGTGTTCTCGTGCAGGCAGCTGGCGCTGGAAATGGGAGCTGCATCCCTGAGCTCCGTCACTGCACACCATTGATGGGGATCCAGCCAGCTGCAGGTGGAGGAAGGTGGTGGGGACACCAACATTGTCATCCCTTGGCCGTGTCCCCTCCTGTGGACATCTCCAGTGGTGGACAGTGATTTAGTCCCATCCATTGCTCCTTGGCTGGCCTGTCAAAAGCAGCTCCCTGCGTCAAGAGCTGTGGGTGCCTGATGTAGGAGTGCATTGTGCTGCTTGGTCATCAGCTGGTGGAGATGTGTCCAAACCAAAAGGATATCTTCCCACTGGTGAGGAGGGAGCTTCATGGTGAGGTTTGTACCTGAACCACGGGGTGGTTTGACATCTCGCCTCGCTGCAGCGCTTGGGTCCAGGTTTGACGTGCTCCACCAGTGGGTGCAAAATGGGATGCTGGAGGCTGCAGCTCTTTAAACCTTAAACCAAGTTCAGACAGAGCTTGTTCAGCAAACCCAAACCTAAGCTGGTGTCTTCTGTGGTGGAGCTGGTCCCCAGATGATGGTGAATTTAGGGATGCTGAGGAGGAGGGGATGCAGAGAGAGGTATGTGGATGGCTGGAGCAGCACAGCAGTTGCATACTGTGCTGCCAGATTGGTGTTCCTTGGGAGGGGGTGATTTCCAGGCTGGTTCCTTTGTCATTAGCAAAAACTGATTGAATTAATTCTCCTGGGCCAGGCGCTCCCATGCACTCAGCCTCCCAAGAGATAGCTGGGGCTACGAGTGTGATATT